ATGGTGAAATTGGTAGACACGCTGCTCTTAGGAAGCAGTGCTAGAGCATCTCGGTTCAAGTCCGAGTAGCGGCATGATATCTTATCCTCCAAAAGAATAAGTCCTATAATGAACTCAATTCCTATTTCTATTCCTAGTATTCTGATTTTTATTTATTCTATATGATATTTTCAACTTTAGAGCATATATTAATTCATATATCGTTTTCGGTTGTATCAATTGTAATTTCAATTCATTTGATAACTTTATCGGTCAATGAAATCCTAGGATTATATGATTCGTCCAAAAAAGGCATGATAATAACTTTTTTCTGTATAACAGGATTGTTAGTTACTCGTTGGGTTTTTTCGGGCCATTTACCATTTAGTGATTTATATGAATCATTAATCTTTCTTTCATGGAATTTTTCCATTTTTTATATGGTTCCATGCTTCAAAAAGCATAAAAACAACTATTTAAATACAATAATCGCACCAAGTGTTATTTTTACCCAAGGCTTTGCTACTTCAGGTCTTTTAACCGAAATGCAAAAATCCGTACTATTAGTACCTGCTCTACAATCCCATTGGTTAATTATGCATGTAAGTATGATGATATTGGGTTATGCAACTCTTTTATGTGGATCATTATTATCAGTAGCTATTTTAGTCATTTCATTTCGAGAACTCATACAAATTATTGGTAAAAGCAATAATTTGTATTTTTTAAATGAATCATTTTCGTTTGCTGAAATCAAATACATGAATATGAATGAAAGAAATAATGTTTTACAAAAAACTTCTTTTTCTTCTTCTAGAAATTATTACAGGTCTCAATTTATTCAACAATTAGATCGTTGGGGTTACCGTATTATTAGTCTAGGTTTTATCCTTTTAACAATAGGTATTATTTCAGGAGCAGTATGGGCTAATGAGACATGGGGGTCATATTGGAATTGGGATCCAAAGGAAACTTGGGCTTTTATTACTTGGACTATATTCGCAATTTATTTACATACTAGAAAAAAGAAAAAAGTAGAAAATTTAAATTCTTCAATAGTGGCCTCTATGGGCTTTTTTATAATTTGGGTATGTTATTTAGGAATAAATCTATTAGGAATAGGACTACATAGTTATGGTTCATTTACATCTAATTGAATTAAAGTGAGTGAAAAAAAACTTCACAAATATAAATATGGAAACCATTCATTATATTATATATAAGAAAGAATATATATATATGAAGCAAACTTCCCATAAATCATCGAGAACCCTTTAAATCAAGTAATGTAGTAGTGATTCAAGGGGTTCTCACAAACAACAAGCATATTCAATTACAACTTAAATTCATTTTTTTGTAAGTTAATACAAGAAAAAAATATTTTGTTTATTGTACATAAGATTTTTTACTATTTTTTCTTTTTTTTTTTTCATTTATTCATATTCACGAAAACTATCTATAAAAAATTGGATAGAATAGCTTCAACTTTGTTAGCCGAGAATGAGAAAATGAAATCCGGATAAATACCAATACATAGTACGGGTATAAGGATCGAAATTGAAATAAATAATTCTCGTGGCCCAGAATCAAAAAAATAAGAGTTTGGTGTATTAAAAAGCTTGTATCCATAGAACATCTGCCGTAAGATAGATAATAAATAAATGGGAGTTAATATCATTCCAATTGCTGTTACAAAAGTGATTAGTATTTTTGTAATTAAAAGATATTTTTGGCTGGTAATTATTCCAAAAAAAACTATCAATTCTGCAACAAAACCGCTCATGCCCGGCAATGCAAGAGAAGCCATCGATAAAATAGTGAAAATGGTGAATATTTTTGGCATTGGGATAGCCATTCCGCCCATTTCGTCGAGATAAAGAAGACGTAGTCTATCATAACTAGTTCCCGCCAAGAAAAAAAGCGCAGCGCCAATAAATCCATGAGAGATTATTTGTAAAATAGCGCCATTAAGTCCCGTATCGCTTATAGAACTAATTCCTATAATTAAGAAACCCATATGAGATACTGAGGAATAAGCTATTCTTTTTTTTAAATTACGTTGACCAAGAGATGTTGAAGCTGCATAGATTATTTGAATTGAACCTAATAGCATTAACCAGGGGCAAAATATAGAATGAGCGCGGGATAATAATTCCATATTAATTCGAACCAATCCATATGCTCCCATTTTTAATAAGATTCCGGCTAAAAGCATACAAGTGCTGTAATGTGCCTCCCCGTGGGTGTCTGGTAACCATGTATGGAAAGGTATAATTGGCGATTTGACAGTAAAAGCAATAAAAAATCCCATATAGAAAATTATTTCCAGCGCCATGGGATACGATTGATTAGTTAATGATTCAAAATTTAATGTTGGTTCATTAGAACCATATAAACCCATAGCCAGAATTCCCATTAATAAAAAAATGGAACTTCCTGCAGTGTACAAAATAAACTTTGTAGCTGAATACAAACGTTTCTTACCCCCCACATAGATAAAAGTAGATAAACGGGAATTAATTCTAATTCCCACATGATGAAAAAAAGTAAAATGTCTCGAGAAGAAAATGATCCTATTTGACCACTATACATTGCTAACATCAGGAAATAAAAAAATGGTGATTCTCGAGTAACCGGCTGAGCTGCTAACGTAGCTAAAGTGGTGATAAATCCTGTCAATAAAATGGGTCCTAAAGAGAGTCCATCTATTCCGAATCTCCAGTAAAAGTCAAAAAAATGGATCCATTTATAATTCTCTGTCAATTGAATTAGTGGATCATCCAATTCTAAATGATAACAAAATGCATAGGTTGTTAGAAGGAGATCCATTAAGCATATACAAATAGTATACCACCTAATCACCTTATTTCCTTTATGAGGAAATAAGAAAATTAAGGAACCTCCAGCTATTGGCAAAACTACAATTATTGTTAACCAAGGAAAATAATTCGTGATAAAAATAAGATATACTTAGACCAGAAAAACCCGCGCTCAAAATAGAAAAGCAATTTTTTTTCTATTTTGAGCGCGGGTTTTTGTCAGTAAAAAAAAACGTATTTGTGTGGTGTTTTTTGAAACGTATCAATAAGCTAGACCCATGCTTCGAGTTGTCTCATGCCATAAATAAACTCGAACACTTAAGAAATCCGTCGGACAGGCGGATTCACACCTCTTACAACCAACACAGTCCTCTGTTCTTGGGGCAGAAGCAATTTGCTTAGCTTTACATCCGTCCCAAGGTATCATTTCTAATACATCTGTGGGGCAGGCTCGAACACATTGAGTACATCCTATACATGTATCATAAATCTTTACTGAATGTGACATTGAATCTATAGAAATCTTTGAACATCAAAAATTGAAAATTTTCGATCTAGTAAACTCGTAAATGAATTCTATATTTAGACACCAGATGAATCAATGATTTATCAGAATTTTGCTAATAAAAATAGACTTATAGATCAATTCATAAGAAGAGAATAGGACCAAAATACTTTGATTTCTTTTATTTATTTTCACAAACATGATTCTAAGTTGCGTATCATACATGCTAATTTGAATTGATAAATATTACACTATTCATTCTAAATTCTACTTTTTATGATTTATTATAATCAATACTATTTATTCAACAAATTCAATTGATTCATACGGGTTGATTTTTTGTTACGATAAATTGAGGAAACAATAGCAGGTCCGATAGCTGCTTCAGCGGCTGCAACAGCTATAACAAAAATTGAAAAAATATTTCCTTTTAATTGGCGACTATCAAAAAAATCAGAAAAGGTTACGAAATTTATATTAACTGCATTCAGTATAAGTTCAAGACACATAAGGGCTCTAACCATATTTCGACTCGTGATTAATCCATAGATACCCATAGAAAATAAATAGGCACTCAAAATAAGTACATGCTCGAACATCATTGACCAACTCCTTACCAATTTTGATTCATTTCATCAATATGAACAAGAATTCAACGGAAATAACTGGGAGAAAATTAAACAAAATAGAATTCAGATTTAGATTATTAGTTAGAATAAGTTCTTATTGGCGAGCCACAACAATTGCACCTATCAAAGCAGCTAAAAGAATTATGGAAATGAGTTCAAATGGAAGAAAAAAATCTGTTGATAAATGAATTCCAATTTGTTGACTAGTACTTATAAAATCTTGTTCTATAATCTGATTTGGTCTCACAGTCCAAATAATCCCGTACCATGATGTATCTGGAATAGTAGTTATTAGTGAAACAAAAATACTTGTACAAACCATCAAAGTAATTCCATCCCCAATGGTCCAAAGACGAAAATCTTGGTAATATTCTGACCTATTCATGAACATTACAGCAAATATGATTAAAACATTTATAGCGCCCACGTAAATAAGTAGCTGCGATGCAGCTACAAAATGGGAGTTTGATAAAATATAGACTAAAGATATACAAACAAGAACCAGTCCCAACGAAAAAGCAGAAAAAATTGGGTTGGTAAGTAATATTACTCCTAGACTTCCTAATATAAGACCCGATCCCAGAAAGACTAAAAGAAAATCATGTATCGGTTCAGGCAAATCCATTATATGTAAAATAAGAGATAAATAAATCGAAATTTCATGACTTTATTGATATGACCAGGAAAAAAATTATATACTAAATACTAAATTTCTCTCCGCATTGAATTCAATCAAATCCTAAGATAATAAGTGTGAATTGCTATAGGTACAGTTATAGGATCAATGTCATTCCATTCTTTCTATGAAAGAGTAGTTTGAAACTATACGAAAACTAAAGTATATATATAATATATGTATCGAATATTTCTACTAATAGAATATCTAATATAAAAATATCTACCTCTAAGATTTATTCTTTTTTTTTAATAACATTTTTCTTATTATCCAAATTTATATTATTCATATATATTATTCAAATACATATATTTATATATAGAAATATATCGAATATGATTTGATTTATATAATCTTTATTTTTAGAAAAAGATTTTATAATTATATTATAATTAACTTAATTTTATTTGAATTGTTCGAATTGTATAATCATCAATTACTGACACTGGTAAACGGCCCAAAGCAATTTGATTATAATTCAATTCGTGACGATCATAAGTCGAAAGTTCATATTCTTCAGTCATTGATAAACAATTTGTTGGACAATACTCAATACAGTTACCACAAAATATACAGATTCCGAAATCAATACTGTAATTAAGCAATCGTTTCTTTCGAATATCAGTTTCCAGTTTCCAATCAACAACGGGTAGATCTATGGGACATACACGAACACATACTTCACAAGCAATGCATTTATCAAATTCGAAATGTATTCGACCACGGAAACGTTCCGATGTGATTATTTTTTCATAAGGATATTGAATAGTTACAGGTAAACGATTTGCGTGAGATAAGGTAATCGTGAAACTTTGACCAATGTACCTTGCAGCTCGGACTGTTTGTTGACCATAATTCATAAATCCAGTTATCATAAGGAACATATCGTGAATATCTCTGATTATTTTTGTTTTTTTTCTTTCTCTTGTTTGAGACAAGTTATGAATATAGAAGGTCCGTTTTTTATAGTGAAAACAATTGAGACGAAGTTGTTAATAATAGATTACCGAGAGAAATGGGTAAAAGAAACTTCCATCCAAAATTTAATAATTGATCTATTCTTAGCCTAGGTAAAGTCCATCTTGTTGTGATAGAAACGAATAAGAACAAATAAGTTTTAGCTAGTGTAATAAAGATACCAATTGTTGTTACAAAAACTCCATATGCTTTATTTATTTCAAAAAATTCAGAAACAAATATGTACGGAATAGAGATATTCGGACCACCAAAGTAAAGAACTGTTACAAACAAGGAAGAAATTAATAGGTTTAAATAGGAAGCAATGTAAAATAAGCCAAATTTGATACCCGAATATTCGGTTTGATAACCCGCTATTAATTCTTCTTCCGCTTCTGGTAAATCAAAAGGTAATCTTTCACATTCTGCTAAAGAAGAAATTAGAAAAACGATGAAACCCATAGGTTGACGCCACAAATTCCATCCCCAAAAACCATATTTGGATTGCGCTTCAACTATATCAACTGTACTTAAGCTGTTAGATAATCCTAGTCGGTGATAACATTACTGTTCCCATCTCTATTACAGAACCGTACATGAGATTTTTCACCTCATACGGCTCCTTTTAAGCCTTCAATAAATCTAAGGACCAGACCGATTATTTATCTCTTGATATATTTATAAAATGGATAAGATTCGATTTTATCGGACGGTTCTGAATTAGACCAATTGAATTCTGTCTGTTTTGTTTTATTTAATGAAAAAATTAATAATAAAGAAAAATACATTTCAAATTTTATTTGAATAAATAAAAGATACAAAAAGTACTTCTGAATTGATCTTATCCCTTTAAAAAAAAATTGGAATTTGTTGAGTAATAACTGAATTCTTCAATAAAATACTCTTTATAGAATTCTCAATAACTTCTCCATCATTTTCGATTACAAAAAAGAATTATACATTCGTTTTCTGAATTATGACATGAATTCCATCTTCCTAGAATATAGATGTAAGAAAAAAAAAGAAAAAGGGTATCACTTTTTCTTTCGCTCCTAGCCTTTTTTTGTGCAACTAAAAAGGGACTCAAAAAAAAAAGTGAATTAATGAAAACAAAAGTAAAGGATTATTTCGTTCCTGATAGTCATTTATTTAATCAGTGGATGGGAGCATACTCTGGATCGGAATTGTAGGGAGTACTGCCTGATTTTTTCTACCAACTTAAAGCCCCAATTAGTATTCTTTTTCTATTATGTATAAATGCTCTTTTGGATATTTAAAAAAATTTGCGTTACTAATCCTTTGTGTATTTTGGTGTTTCTACCCATCCATTCATTTTTTTATTAAACCCCTTTAGTTATGTTAATACATGTATGATAATTCATACAAATGATAGTGAAAACTCAAAAAAAAGGTTGGTTTTTCTTTTGTGCCCGCTTCAAGACAGGATGACTAATCAACCAACCTTGGGGGTAAATGACCTCTTCTACTGAAGAAATAGAATAGAATTTTTTTTTTCACTTAATTCTTATACATGGAAAATGAGACTCAATATTTTGACTGCAATTTTAACTCCTCATACTATCTATTAACTATAAGTAATATATAACTATAAGTAATATAGTATATATATAGAATTAATAAATTCTATTCAATAGAAGCTGTTTTATTTCACTCATATAACTATCTGATTAAATTCTTCAATCCGAATTTCGAAAAAGAATAATGATAAGGATATATATTCAATTTATTATCCTTCTTTACTAGAAAGCACTATAAAGAAAGGGGGGAGTATAGCAATAGTATCGAAAAGCTTCTGTCTCAACGAATCGCACGTAGAGATATTGATAACACACATAGAGTTAATGGTATTTCATAACTAATCGATTGAGCAGCAGCTCGTAGACCACCCAAAAAGGAATATTTATTATTTGACCCATATCCTGACATAAGAAGTCCAATGGGAGCAATACTTGAAATAGCAATCCATAAAAAAACACCGATATTGAGGTCAGATAAAACAAAGTTATAATTAAAAGGAATTACTGAATAGCTTATTATAATTGATATGACTGATATGAATGGTCCGATACTGAATAAATTAATATCTCCTCTAGATGGAATAAGATTCTCCTTGAAAAGTAGTTTTGTTCCGTCTGCTAGAGCTTGAAGAACTCCAAAAGGACCAGCATATTCAGGTCCAATACGCTGTTGTATCCCTGCGGATATTTCTCTTTCTAACCATACAATTGCTAGTACACTTATTGTGATTCCTAATACAAGAATAAAAATAGGGGCAAATACCCATAGAATTCCATATACCTCTTTAAAAGATTCCAATCTGAAAAAAAAATGGATATCTTGTATTTCTGTTGTATCAATTATCATTTCAACGATCAACCTCTCCCATAATGATATCTATGCTACCTAGTATTGTCATAATATCGGCCAATTTCATTGTTTTAACTAATTGAGGAAGAATTTGCAAATTGATAAAACCCGGTGGACGAATTTTCCATCTCCAAGGAAAACCATTTTGATCACCTATTAGAAAAATTCCTAATTCTCCCTTAGGAGCCTCAACTCTTACATAAAGTTCTTGTTTCGGCAATTCAAAAGTCGGAGACGCTTTTTTACTAATAAATCGATATTCAAAATCATTCCATTCTGGCTCTGTTTCTTTATCTAAGCAGCGAATTTCTAAATTTTCATATGGTCCGCCGGGAATTCCTTCCAAAGCCTGTTGAATAATTTTTATAGATTCCGTCATTTCACCAATTCGAACTAAATAACGAGCTAACGAATCTCCTTCTTTTTGCCATTGAACTTCCCAATCAAATTCCTCATAACACTCATAATTATCAACTTTACGTAGATCCCATTGTATTCCGGAAGCCCGAAGCATTGGTCCTGATAAACCCCAATTTATTACTTCCTCTCCATCAACAACGCCTACTCCCTCAACCCGTTCTAAAAAAATAGGATTTCGCATAATAAGTCTTTGATATTCAACAACCTTTGTTAAAAAATAATCGCAGAATTCAAAACATTTATCTATCCAACCATGAGGTAAATCAGCCGCTACCCCTCCGATACGAAAAAAATTATGCATCATTCTCATACCTGTCGCAGCTTCGAATAGATCATATATTAATTCTCTTTCTCGGAAAATATAGAAGAAAGGGGTTTGTGCACCAATATCTGCCATAAAAGGTCCCAGCCACAGTAGATGAGAAGCTATACGACTCAACTCTAACATAATTACTCGGATATAGCTAGCTCTTTTAGGTACTTGAATATTTCCCAACTGTTCTGGTCCGTTTACAGTTATTGCTTCTGTGAACATAGTAGCTAAATAATCCCAACGTGTTACATAAGGGAGATATTGTATAATTGTTCGGTTTTCTGCAATTTTTTCCATCCCTCTGTGTAAATAACCCAATATTGGTTCACAATCAATAACATCCTCACCATCCAGAGTAACAATAAGTCGAAGAACACCATGCATTGATGGGTGGTGAGGTCCCATATTTACTATCATGAGGTCCTTTCTTGTAGCTGGGATATTCATAGATTTTTTTCCTCGATTCATAGAAGAATGAATCGCTTTAAAAAAAAAAAAAAATTCATCAAAATTCAAGATCTAATAAATCGAATAATTGAAAATGACTCTTCAAATTAACGAATTTGTGACTCCCGAATATCAAACTGATTTATTAATTTTTTATAACGTATTCTACTTTTTTTTGACAAATAAGACAGTAATCGTTGCCGTTTTCCCAGAATTTTACGTAAACCCCTTTGAGATAAATAGTCTTTTCGGTGCAATTCAAAATGCGAAGTAAGTCTTCGTATCTTATTGGTAAAATGGAATATTTGAAATTCAACTGATCCCGGGTTTTCTTCTTTTTTTTCTTCTGAAATAACAGGTATAAATGAATTTTTTACCATAAAAAAATGAAATGAAAGCTTTCCTCTTCCCCTCGCTTTTGATAAATATTTTTATTGATCAGTAATAGTAATGATACTCATTTTTGTATATAAATCTGAATTTCCTTAGGAATTCCTGATTGAATTCATTCTTTCTTATTAATCAATCCAATCTAAATAGATAGAAAAGATACCATATTTATGGATTCACCAAATAACAAATTGTATGCTTGAAAAATAAAAGACAATTTTGTTGATTCTTTTTTCGATCTAATGGATACATCATTAGATTAGTATCAATGCCACAATGTGTGTTCCCATTTATGTTATGTATATAACAATTTGTCTTCATATACCAGATATATATTATGGTAAATAGAAGACAAATTTCGATTAACGAATTTTCAATCGCGGATACATATGTAGCCTTACTATATTGAAACGACTTCCATTATGGGTATTAAACCAATAGCGATTTATACAAGCTAATTCTTCTAATCTATAATTTGGCCAAAGAAAAATTTGGAAATTCATTAGTTTTTTTTTATCTCTGTCAAGATCTTTTCGTTTTTGAGTCAAAAAATTATTACCTTTATTTTCATTGTAAAATATTGTGTTTCTATGCATACTATTTATATTCTTAGGATTTAAACAAATTACAATTCTCAACTCTCTACGACGTCTAGCGGATAAAATATTTTCAGGAACAAGCAAATTATAATTTTTTTTTTTTTTTTTTTCTGTTATTTTTGGATCTCTTGTCCGTGTAATGTATTTTTCAAAATTTTTCTTATCAACATTACTTTTTTCGGAGTATTTTTGATTCATTTTGTACTTACTCTTACGAATTAATGAGATACCCATGGTTTGATACATAAAAAATTGTTTATTGTTTTTTCTAGACAGGCGAACTGGTTTGATAATAAAAAATTCGTTTTTCATAAATTTTGTATTTTCATTTTTCTTCAAGCCTGGAAAAGTGAAATCCTTATGATTTTGAATCAGCATAATTTTTAGATCTAGTTCTTCCCTTTGAATAGAGGTTATAGCAATTTCTCTTAAATTTTTCAATCTAATCAGGAGACAGTATACTTTGACATTATTTAATATTCTTTTACCTAAGAAATTCTTCCAGTCCAAATGAAAAGTAAAAAAAATTCTTGTTAAGAAATTTAGTTTAGCCTTCATCTTGTTCTTGTCTTTCTTTTTCTTTATACCCTTACCATCCTTTTTACTGTCCAATTCCGCAAATTTTTTTTCAATATCTTTTTTTTGGTTTGAGGGAGATGATTCAAGATTTACTCGACCCGCGCATTCTGTTTTTGCTCGATTTTGAGTCTCTAACTCGAATTCCGGAGATTTCTTTTTTTTCGATGGTCTAAAAATATCTATTATTCTTTTCTTTTCAGTAATGTTATTTTGATTTTCACTAACATTTTGATTTATATTTATATTAAAATGGAAAAAAAGTGATTTGATTGGTATGATCCGCGGGTTATTTTGATATTTATATGCATTAGAAAATATCAAAAATTCTGAAACGAAAAAAAATTTCGTACTCGATATGGAACGATTTAGTATTTCTACATTTATTCCCATCCAATCAAA